TTTTCGGGAAGCGTGTCGCAACCACGGCGGGAATACCGGGATAAAAGGGCGAGGGAAGATAGGTGAGAGAGGCAGAGAGATGCTCCTTTACGTAGTAAAACCTTTGCCTTTTATGAGATGCCACCACCGGAATGAGCTATTTTTGGAAGCCACGTAAACGTGGAGGATTCTCCGATTGTTGCTCGCCCCTTTACCGTGCAGGATACAGGATGTCAGATAGTTCCACATTGAGGAACTGTTCCAGAATGAAATTTTTGTGAAATACTTGTAGAAAAAGACGACGCGTTCGAATATCTAGGCAGCGTTGTTAACAGTACCGGATGGATAGAACAAGAAATTCAGCACCGACTACTAAAGGCAGCTAGAGCGTTTGGTGCCATCAAGTTTGGCCAGCATCCGTATACTAATAATTAAAATGCGATTATTGAACATCAGTGAGGGTGAGAAATATGGACGAGTAAGAAATCCAATGAACACAAACTTCAGGTTTTAATTAGTAGATGCCTACATAGGGCTTAAAGAATATTTTTAGCCAAGAATGATACCAAACGAAGACCTATGGAGAAGGTTAGAGATGAAAACAGGAACTGAGATAAGAAATTGGAAGTACAACTGGATAGGACACATACGACGAAGGGGAATGGGCGAATCAGTAGCTAGAATGGTTGTGGATTGGAATTCCCAAAGACGCTGACATATAGGAAGTCTCAAGCTGACAAATACAAGCAGTCTGTGTCCAGCCATAAGATTATATTATATCACTGCTTGTTAATAAGTCGTAATTCAACTATTACTATCTAGAATGTATACACATTCAAGTTAACCGTCACATCTTCCGACTAAAAGCAGCCGTGAGGAAAGAGCTATATAGTATGATGTATTTTGCGAAAAGTTAGCAAGTTTGTAAAGGAAAACTGTGTTTCTCTAAACCCCGCATCCAACTGACTGAATGTATATGAATACCATTAATATGAAATTTTCAACTTCAATCACACCCTTTTCTGTTCCTGTACAAAACAGTCCATGACATTTATGATTGCACATCACTGTTAAATCTCATTGCCTCAAAATCATTTACTCGAAACGCGCGTACCTTTTACCTCCCAACTTGCTGTTCTTGTTATAATGATTTTCATATATTAAAATAATCATACATTAAGCGAACATGCTGTATCCCCACCAGTAATTGGTGAATCTGTTGATGGTGTCTAAACAAATAAACATCTCCAGGGTTCGTATAAATTCTTACCAAACGCATGGACCATGAAAAGCAAGCCCTCGTTTTATTTTTCATTATTTATAAAGAGTAGTTAGACATTTTGCCTACATTTCTCCCAAAGGGTGATGAGCACCAACCAAGAGAATTCAGAACTAAATTAGCATGTTGCTGGAAATATATGAAATTGGTGACTAAAGATGTTCCATATACTAATGTAAGTAGTATTTTGAACATTTTCTGCCAATTTAGTTTTGAATTCTATTGGTCGGCGCTCGCCACCCGAATAAATAGTAATATCAACCGCTTTATTCGGAAGAAAGTCACTCTCAAAAGACATCTGTCTCAATAGTCTACATGACTGTAAAACGCAACTTGTATTATAGGGCATAAATCCTGTCTATGATTTATATGGCTTCTTCAACACACTATAGTCGCTACTGATTTTGTGGTTTAGACTGTGGAAAACATCCAAGATAATTTTAGGCTGTGTTTTCAAATTCCTGTTATTAGGCATATCAACAAAAAATAAATTATCGCTACAAGACTGGCTGGGATAATGGAAACACAATATGGACGTTAAAAATGATGATGGAACGTAAATACAAGACGTATAATTGCCCAATTTAAAATGTTGCATTCTTGTTCTCCGGATACACTTTACATGATAGATTCAAAAAATTAAAGCAGTTAAAACAATGGGGTGATAAAAGTAGTGGGGTATATAATTTTTTTTTGTATATTGAAGCAGCCGCGCAGGCAGAAGCCTAAATGCCGGAACAAAGCGGCTGCTATGATGATCCCAAAGAAATTTTATTAATACGATTCTTGAACTGCCTAAGGTTAGTAGACCTGGGAAAAGCTTCCTCTTGTAGATTGCTGATAGGAGGTCGTTGATATGTGTCTCAATGTTGTTACTAGAAATCGGATTCAAATTGTGCAAAACAATTGTGCTAGGTTCATCTGTGGTTTAAGGCGCTTCGACCATGGTAGTCTTATTGATTTAACTGGATGATAACAAAAAATATTGTCAAATATCATTACCTTGTTTTCATTCATAAACTAATACTTATGTCAAAACCTATATAGTTAAGAGAAAAACTGATCTTTAGGCGTAATATTCATCATAGACATATTAGATTTCCAGATTTGATAACTACACTCATTCACTCCACAACTTTATTCCAGCGTTCTTTCACGTACAGTGCTTCAGTGTTATACAATGCCTTGAGTCCTGAATTCAAAACCATGTCCTTAAATTGCTTCAAGAAAGCTGTCAAATCTCATATTTGCTTGGATCCATAGTCTTAATTAGATTGCTATAGATATATTGTCAAATGATTCTTCACTTCCCTTAACAACTTGTTTTTTTTTGCATGGGTGGTTAAGTGTAAGAGTAGCATGTTGCTAAACTTCGCCACCATATGTAACTCTTGTTTCTCTGTTTGAAATTGTACAGTTTAAATAAAGACGATTATTATTATTATTATTATTATTATTATTATTATTATTATTATTATTATTATTATTATTATTATTATATGTCAGCCACCCATTTGCAAAGCTTTTCTGGGAGGCCATAAGATGGAAGTTTGCTTAAGAGGGCAGCGTGTCACAGCTGATCGAACGCTTTCGAGATGTCAAGAGCAACGACATGAGCCTCACCATAAGACTGGATGAGTTTACTCCACAATTGCGTGACGTAAACTAGGAGGTCCCCTTTGGATCGTTGGTGCCGTAAACCATACTGCCTGTCGCTAATCAAGATGTGACGTTCGAGGTAGTCCAGAAGCTCGCGATTTATGCACCTCTCCATCACCTTACTTATAACAGAAAGCAGAGCTATATACTATAGTTGTAAGGGTCGGTCTTAGATCTTTTTTTTTGGATGGGTTGGAGCAGCAAATTTTCAGTTTTCTGGGAAGGTGCCAGATTCATAAGATACCTAGATGAGACGCGAAAGAACAGGAGCAAGCTCCGCTGTACACTTCTTCAGTACAATGGTATGAATCAAGTCCGGACCAGAAGCTTTGTTGATGTCGAGCGACAAGAGCACTCGTCTTGCGCTCTTATGTCTGAATGTCACCTCCCGCATAGTGTACGGAACCCTTCGAATTGACGGCACTTGGGCGCTGGAGGGGACGTCCATTGCGGAGTTGGCAGCAAAGATCTTGACTAGCACTTCCGCATTGGCCTTTGAGTCGAATGCAATCGTTCGATCTTGACAAGTAAGTGATGGAAGGCTGCTGTGTGAGAAATTCTTTTCAATCTGCTTGGCCAGCGTCAAGAAAGACCGACTGCCATTGCGCTGCGACATTACCCTGAGCCTAACTTTCGTTCGTTATATTTGTTTATGGACTCGGCAGTGGGGTTTTGTGAGAAGGTTATGTGTGCCTTGATCTTCTGCTGGCGAGCAGTGTTACACGATTTGTTAAACCAGCCGTTGGACCCTGGTTTAGGCACTTTCACTGTGTGAGGGATGTATTCCTCCATTCCGACGTGGATAATTTCGGTTATCGAAGAACAGACATCTTTCCAAGAAAAGCTAGAGAAGAAATCTCTGAGCCCCTCCCAGTCGGCATATCCGTAATGTCAAATTTTGCGGCCTGTACGAGTTTCTGTTCCCAAAGGGAAAACCTAACCTCCACAACACCGTGGTCTGAGTTACCCAGGGGGGACAGGACAGCAGTGCTGTAAGGAACAGGATGCGTGGTCAGAAAGAGATCCAGCATGCTTCTGGCGTGTGACGAGATGCGAGGGAAAAAAGTAGGGCTCGTCACCAGCTGAGTCAGTCCTTGAGTAACAGCGAACGCTTCGACTGCACGGCCTGCTGCATCGGTCGTGTTTGAGACCAACGAAAGCTCATTATAGGCATTGAAATCACCGAGAAGAACTACTTCTGAAACGGGGTGATTGATGTTCAGGAAGTCGATCTAGACGGCGAGGTGTTCAAGTAGGTCATCCTAGTTATGGTCCGAGGGAGAGGGATAAAGACAGCAAATAAATTTGGGTGATGTTTTGGAGTTGAGGCGAAGCTACAGAATGTCCTTCCGGTCTGATTCCAAAGAAACATCTCTGGAGCAGGTAAGACTGCTGCGGACAAAAGCCACAACTCCCCCGTTCGTTCTTAGATTGGAGTGCACTTCTAGTTTGGGAAGGTAAGATTTTTGTCTCCGCCAAGAAAAGTATGGCCGGACGATTGGATTGCAGGTAGTGATGAGCAGCATCAATAGTGCTGTTAATCCCGCAGATGTTCGTAAAACAAATTTTATCTTCGATGTTGTTCCCTCGAGCCCACCCTCCACCCGGACATTCCGAGAGTGGAGTGAGCTTACGTCCGGAGGGATCCATCATCATTAATTTCTTTGTTTTTGAACCGACGCATATCTTAGGTGTGGAAACATGCGGGCATTTATAAGACACCCTGGGAAAAGCTAGCGAGAATGAAGGATGATTTAAAATAGATGCATGATGTAACAAACAGTTGAAAAGTGATCACCAGGCACGACTTATTTTGTCTATGAAATGCTCATAAAGTGTTAGAATTCTCCAAATAAGCGTTCAGGGTAATATTCCATAGAAATAGAAATTATTTACTGATATTTTTTGAAAACGAAACTACTATAAATTACCTATTTGTCAGACTTCGTGTAGGAATATTCTTTGATAACTACAATTTTGTGAAAGTTATATGCCGTTATTATGTAAAATGGCGGAGTTGTTCATATAAATCAACCGTTTCAGTACATTTATTTGTTGTACTAATTGTTGACGTTTGTTCCAGATATCTCGCCAGTCTATCGACGCCTGCAAAGACTATTTCAGAGACGATCTGCAGAAGACAGACTGGCAACTCATGGTAGAACTGAAAAAACTCTTCCAAATCCTCTAGCTGAAAGTGTGCCAGTCACTTACTTTTTTATCCGATCAGTTTGTGTCAAGCAGTCCTTATCAATTTCGTGTGTTCTAAAAATGATATTGCGTTATTGGAAGAGAGATTGAACTTTTGATATTTGAGTCGGTGTCGTTAGGATAGTAGACACATATTCCATCACAATCAAGAGATCATCAATAATATTCTGCATGACGGAACTTGATATGGATTTTTCTTTTAAATATAATGGGTATGTCAAAATTTCTGAAACCAGAAAAAATATGAGTCTATATGAGGGATCAGGGTCACTAATTTCGACAACTTGGCACGAATTGATTAACCAAGGTTTATTTCACTTTTCTTTGATTCACAGTATTTAATGTTCTGTACTGTTTCCTTCACCATCTTGGTTTACTTTAATTCGTTGATTTTTTATAATCTACAACCATATACAATTTTTTAATAAACATATTTTGATATTCTCAATGAGTAATTGTAAACCAGTTATTTAGTTAATGTTTCGATTTGCGAAGGTTGATTTAATAAACTTTGAGGATGTACGTACATATATTTGTATACACTTAACTGAATAAATTATTTTAATTCGCTAGTTGTCATTTATGAAGGAGTGACAAACGCTCAGAGATCCACAACATCACATAATTAATGTTGATCTATCGATAGTTTGAGGTGTTCCGTGAGGAAATAGATATAGTGAAATGGTAGGTACTATAAATAGAAATATTTTTATTTGGAACTAAAGATAAATTGTTTTTGTAGCAACATCCAAAGATCGGGATCTTAACATTAAAAGCCCTAATATAACATGGCGACATTGCTAGCATCCGTAGCCAAACTATTGTTATAGAAATGTGTCAATTTCGGTTTTTCATATGAGACATATTTATAAAATAGGTGGACCTTCACACCGCGCGGCGCCTGATTTCGACTATGACTCACATTGTACCAAAACATCATACCTTTTTACGGAGGAGGAGGGGAGTAGGACTCGCCCATTTAGTTTAAAGTTTTCGGAACTTAATATATCGGTTATATTAAGGTTTGGTATGTGTGATACTAGGAAAACTTGCTTATTATTGCCTAACCTATACGCTCCGTAAAATCCCCACTTTGAGAACACTCTGTATGACAGCGACTAATTTTCAATACACGCCAAAATTTTGGCTGTCATATATTTGGTCTCTTACGCTGCATCTAAACTAGGAGTATTTATGGCCCGGCTATATAACTCGAATATATCAACTATATCGTCAGCAATGTGTAGACACGCACCTGGTCAGAATGTCTCGACAGGAGGAGTACAAAATCAGGCAAGAATAAGTGCTTAGCAGCAGCTTACATTACATTAAGTAGGATTCCAATAATTCGGCAATTCGGACAGCACTTCATGAAAAGGTCGGACATGTCTAGTGGTAAAGCCTGGGAAGGTGTTCGAATCTCGCAGGCGACACTAGAATTTTATTTTTGTGATTGTTATCATTTGTCACTGTTATTTGATTTTAAGACGGGTATTTACATGCAAATCATATTCCTATTTTGTCATCTGTCGTGTTGTCGAGCGGTGAAAAAATCTTGAACGCGTCATTCATTGTCGCATAGTTTCGCGAGATTTTGCCGAACGAAAAATGTCGGTTGGGAGAATCAAGAAGGCGCGGAATCCGTCACACATACTTTTGTTTTTCAACCCTTTACGTTGATTACTAGTTTTTTAGAAGTATTTAAAGAAGACAACTTTAGTCCACGAGTGACATGCGAATGACGTTTCTTTGTTTACAATTTATATGACGTCACATCATGGCCGATAGAGTAGAGTGATATATTCCGCTTTCCTAAGGCAAATACTCATTTATTCTATGAAATTAGGTATAAGTCAGGGCATACCTTCATATTGAGCCTTTGGTAGAATTCCCGTGCATATTGGCATCCATTTTAACTTCTTCCTCTTATGTGTTACAAAACGACCATCTGTAGATTTTCACGACGCCTAGCCTATCCGTGATGAGTTTCCAGCCGATGGCCAAACAAATACTCGTTCAAATATAGAACCTTCAGTCAACAAGACAAGGTTTACAGAGGTTTTATCTAACGCCCAAGTGTGTGCGTGTGTGTATATTTACATTATTACGAAAATAGGTATCGCCAATTAACCCAATTAATGGGATCGAGTAACAGATGTTGAGAATGCGATGAAGGAAACACCATTTCCGAGAAATTCGCAGACCCATCTCGATTGGCGCCGTAGTGAAAAAATACGGAAAATTACTGGACGATCACTTGTCGGAGCAAAGTTTATTTAATTTTTTTTTTGCTTATTAGACAGATTAAATTAACTTTGTACAGTATGCGCAAGCATTTGAACTCGTTGGAAATATGGGAAATCCATTTGACTCATTGCTCAAACCTTCAAATTCCATTTTTTTACCAACATACTTTTTTACTAATAACGCTTCATTACATGTAGATGCGCATTCTGGATATACACCTCGTAAGTCACTACATTCCTTCTCTTTTAAATAACACCACGTAATACAGGTTCAGCGAAAAAACGCCACCATAAGCCCGGGACGTGTTTTTTGCACGCATTAATCGACGACCGCTACTTGAATGGGTCATGTCAAAAATAAAATTATCCATGGTTGATTTATTTCCAAATTCTGCTATATGCACCAAAATATCAATTTTAAATTCACTAACTACAAAAATAAAATTACAGGCCTTATCTATCCCCTTTGCCCCAAATTACTTGTTTAAGAGTTTTATTTTTCCTCCATTGACTCAATCCTTCTCATCTGTATGACCCAGAAGGTCCTTTGTACGCTAAATATTTTCAATGGCTGTCCGTAAAGACAGGCTATAGATGAAAGTACACGCACAACACATGTCTTGTATTTTTTTGTTAAAAACATACGCTTTGATCCCTGCAAGTCAAATAAGCGCCTGGGTTCTAATACAACCGATTGTTGATCATTGTGAAAGTTGAACGTTTTCGGTCAGTTTAGATGTAAAACAGGGAATTCGACTTTGCCCTTTTTTTGACCTTTATACCTTAAACATATTAATACATGCAAAACTAGAACATGTGGTATGTCAATCTTTAAGTGTAATTTTATATGATTATTTTGCTTAAATTATATACCACTAACCCTATTTCCTGCTAAACAATGTAAGTCCATAATAATGATACAGGGTTTGTCTGGAAAGTAATAGGACTCATTTTCTTCCGCCATGACTGTACTTCGGAGCGTACGCGCACCGACTTGGTTCGGTAGAGGGCATTCCTAGCTAACGAATGAGTGGCTGGTCAGTGGTCTCCGAGCACTTGGAGAGTCAGGCCAGGCATTTCCGCGCGACATGTTTCTGTGAGTGGTGCAAGCCGAAAATGCAGCGTTCGTTAGAGTAGAGGTACGCGATTAAATTCTGTGTGAAACTCGGTAAATCTGCGACAGAGACGTTTGATATGATCAAGCAGGCTTACCCAGGTGTTGCTTTAGCAAGAAGTGGTGTGTTTCGGTGGCACCAGGCCTTTTTGGATGGTCGGGAAGGGGTCGCTGATGAAGACCGTGCTGGAAGACCTTCGACAAACACCGATAATGTGACTCGTGTGCGCAAAGTTTTGAACTCAGACCGTCGACTAAGTATTCGGTTAATGGCCCAGATGTTAAATTTACCAAAATCTGTGGTTCATGACATTGTGACACAGCATTTGAACATGCGCAAGGTGTGCGCGAAGATGGTCCCAAAAGTGCTCACTGACGACCAGAAATTGCGGCGAGTGGAAGTGTGCCAAGAAAATTTGAAAATGTGTGAAAGTGACCCCAATTTTTGAATAACGTAATCACAGGTGACGAGTCGTGGATCTTTGAGTATGATCCCGAGACAAAGAGGCAATCTTCCGAGTGGCACACGACGGCGTCTCCTCGCCCAAAAAATGGAAGAATGAGCAAATCCAAAGTGAAAACGATGCTCATTGTCTTTTTTGACATCAAAGGCATCGTCCACCATGAATTTGTTCCTCCTGGACAAACCGTCAACGCCAAGTTTTACGTGGAAGTGCTCAGGAGACTCAAATGAAGACATCGCAGCCACTGGAAGTTGCACCACGACAACGCCCCGGCTCACACCGCCTTTCTTGTGAACAGCTACCTGACCAAGGCCGGCATCCCAACGCTTCCGCAGCCGCCCTACAGCCCAGATGTGACAACCCGGACTTTTTTTGTTTCCTCGCCTGAAAAGGCCGATGAAAGGCAAGCATTTTGAGACGACAGATGGGATCCAAGCAGCATGCACCGCGGCTCTCAAGGCTTTTCCGGAGAATGCCTTCAGTGACGCCTTCAATGCTTGGAAATCGCGCTGGCAGCGCTGCATCGACGCAGAAGGAGCCTATTTTGAAAGTTTTCAAAGAATTGTAACGATTGGCTCAATCATTTTTTTTAATCGACTCAGGCCTATTACTTTCCGGACAAACCCTGTACATTAAACTCAAAAAAGTAATTTAATACTGGTTTATTTGTCAATGACCGTCTCTGAAATTTGAAAGGGCTGTTATAAAAAAACATATTTTCCGTATTTTATTTTCGTTAGAAGCAAATTAATAAAGAAAATTAAAAATTATAAGAAACATCCGAAATATTGAAAGTTCTAACGTCAAAATTTGAACAAAACCCGCCGTTCTGTTTTTGGAGTGCTTGGCTCTGAAATTGATAATATCTTGCGTTTCGCTATGCTTTCCTATATTTTTCATTTCGTAGAGGTGAACATTTTTAGAAATACTTTTTCAAGCATTAAAACTAACCATATTATTCTATCGGCGTTACTGCAAAATTGGAAGGAAATACAATTTTAATCCCTGACCGAAATAGGTCGAAAACTGGGTTTTCTAGGAAAAAAGTTTCAAACAGAAATTGTAGGTTTTAAAGCCGGCAAAATGATTATGACCTTGGCTATGACCTTTAAGATTCTTTCAAGGTCAAGTTAATACTTTCAAATGGAAGCCGTCCTTTTTCACGTCGGAATTAAAAAGAGGAGAAAATTTTACGTCCGACACTACCTTGACCATTGCTTTCAAGGAAAAATGAAGACAGAAAATGTTCTCTAGCAAAAATGTTCGACAGCACAGTTGTGAGATTTGTGGAGATCACTCAAAGGTGACCAAGACCGTTACCCTGAAGTTCAAGGCAAAACTTTCAAAGGAAACCCCTCATTTTTATACTGGATATGGAATAAGTAGGAAATTTAACTTCCGAATGTGGAAACGACCCAAAAGTCAATGTCGTGTCAACCTTGAACATTATTCGTCAAGGTCGTATTCGTACGTGAAATTTCTTGCTGTTACTATTTGCAGCGTAAAAATGAAAGGTGGTTTCAGTTGGAAATTTTGACTCAACCTATAAGGTCAAGATCATGGTTCAGGACACTTTTAGGTGATCTCCACAACCCTCTCAACTTTGCGGTTGAGCATTTTTGCCAGACCAAACAGCTTTCGATGTCCTGATTTGACCTTGAAGGCAATAGTCAAAGGTCCGGGCCAAGGTAATCTTCGAATGTAAAATTTGCTCCTCTTTGCAAATCCGATGTCTATTTAAAAATATA